AGAAAAGGAGGAGGAGCAGTGAGCCAACTAAGACCTGTGAGCCTTCAGGAGACCTAGCAGGAGCTACCTTTGTGAGCAAATACTGGGAGATGGATCAACTTGGTGAAGGAGGTTTYGGAACCGTATTTGCTGGCTACCGGAGAGAAGATTGCCTCCCAGTAGCCATCAAGCATATAAAGGACAAAAATCTCCTCCCACCATTGAGTCCATATGGGAAGGAGCTCCCTGCAGAGGTGGCCATTATGCTGAAACTCACAGCTGAAAAAGATGACTCTCCAGGGATGTGTGCACCAATAGAATTGCTGGACTGGTATGACCTGGGCCACGAATTGATACTGGTGCTGGAGAGACCTGTCTATGCTGTGGACCTTCATGATCACRTAGCTCTAAACGGAGGGTCTCTACAGGAGTGGGAGGCSAAAATCATAATGACACAGCTGGTGGACGCTGCTATCGGGCTGGAGAAGAGACAAATATTTCACTCYGACATGAAACTCCACAATATCTTGATTGATATTGGCGCAATTGTCCCATGTGTTCGCCTCATTGATTTTGGGCTGAGTCRAATTGTGACAAAAGACAAAGTCATCACCAGATTCCGTGGCACCCGAAAACACATCCCTCCAGAGGAGTACTACRAGTKTGGMTACATGGCTGGTCCAACCACCGTATGGMMGCTTGGGATTATCCTATTTGAAATGCTTCACAAAAAGGTTTTCACTACTGGAAGTTTTCTCAAAAAGGAACTGAAAATATCCTCTCAACTGTCCAGAGATAGTAACGATTTCCTTCAACTGTGTTTGAAGTTAGACCAGACGCAGCGCGCCACCCTGACAGAGCTCCAGCATCACCCATGGTTGAAAAACTGAACGCCCTCCCCCTGACCCCGTCCATGGACAGAATTCAGCATCATGCTGTGGGGATGCTTCTCTGCTACAGTGTATATTTAAAAGAGAGAAAACTTGTTGTACAATGTGTTTGTATGTGTAATATTTATTGTTTTCTATGATAACTTTCTGGATTAAAATTGAAAATATAAAACCTCAATTGCATTYAKTTGTCATAAGGGTTTTCATAAAGACAMTAAAAGAATCATTGCCAAATAAATCAAAYATATAAACATAKAGATATATTTATAAATAGCTGACATTTTGTACTCCCTAATATCGGTATTGGCGTCAGCCCCCTAAACTCCATACAGGTTGCGCTCCATTACAAAGTGATGCATAACAACCGCAAAGAGACACAAAAACTACTAAGACAAGCAAATGACTATAGTATGGATTACCACACAGTACTGTCTTGTGTTGTAGGGTTAGTATTCAGAAATATTTTTCTACACTTACAGTAGGAAAGCTA